GAAGGACAATCTTGTGTTACCATTTTGTTGAATGTTTAAGTTATTATATTCACGATTTCGATTCAAACATTAATATCAAAATTTATACACTGATTGCAATGACGCGCGGAATGGTACGTGCGACATTGTTTGTAGAGTACGTCTCCTGTTTTCTTTTATTATGATAAAAAATACCTTTTTACAACTTTGATACTTTAATTAGATGCATTTTTATCGAAAATAGTATGTGATGGAATCAGGAATTTTTTTATGATACGAAATTAACAGCTTTAAGTCCTCTGTGCTTTAGGAACAGTTCAGTCTCGATGTAGCAGTGCCGAACTATTTGTATCTTATTTTTTTCTGTAGTCTTCAAGGTCGCGTTTTGACTACATATTCGAATTGGTTCGATGGATATCTAAAATAGAAAAGGCTAATCTTCACTTATCTGCTGCGGGCGAGAGTGTAGGCATGGGGATGGGATGGGAGTGTGGTTGCAGAGATTAAACTCATCTACTCACTATACTCATATCCACAGCCACACCATCACACTCACCCCTACCCACACCACCCACACCATCATTCCTGATAGAACAGATACCTCACATCGTTATACAACAAAATAGAAAAATTTTTCTTCTGCTGCTCAAAATAAAGTAGGGCACCTTTTTCTTTATTTAATTAAATGAATTTGAATGAAATTGCGCACAGAATTATAATATAATGTTGAAAGAAAAATTAATATATATAAAACAACCTCGATCATTCTGTCTTTTATAGAGTGAATACACTGACTACTTTGAAATTTGAATGGAACTGCAAGAAGTATTCAATCGTTAATACTCTTTTCATTTGTAAATATTCTAATATAAACCAGTTTCCAAATAGAATTCCATATTCCTTGTTTAATGCTGAAAGCAGACATACTTGATGTCACGAGTTACCAACGTTTTCTCTCATCCTGTCATTGCAAGTGAATTCAATCGCTGCGACACAAAATTTCACAGATTTGCATCTTCTACCAAGAAAATGAGAATAAATTTAAAAAAAAAACTTTCCAGTATAATCAGAGAATTAACATAAAGATTGCTATTCAAATGTTGACCAAAGATATGAATACGCTTCAGTTCGCTTGATAGACAATTGGAATCTAGAGCAAAATGAAAATGAGAAAAATTCGAACATAATGCCTTCAAAAACATAGACTCATAGTCATATATTCGTTTGATTTAGACAGACATGAGTATGGCTCTTGAGGGTGTGGGTGTTGACCTTCTCTTTCCTGAACCCACGCCCCACACCCACACCCATCCAACTGCCCATACCTGCATTTCGGCAAATTCTGCTAGAATACTTTTTAGTTCCCTTAGTCAATGTTTCAATTAAAACAATAATTTCATATGTTAGATTCACCAGGCTGGATGTGTGTGTACATTCTGTTGGGGTGAAACATGGACCCAAATGCATAAGAAAAGAATTTTACGTGAAATATCAACTAAATAAGCTTTAAAATACTTGCAGCAGTAACATTTGAAAATGTACGGAGTAATTTGCAGAGATTTTCAAAATTATACTTCGAACATAACTTGCTGGAGTAATTCGAACTATCCCAATTGATTAAGTGTCACCAGAAAAAAATGAGTCGGAACTTCAGAATTCACATAAAATAATTGACATGCTATTTCGAATAAATGTCCTATTTTGATTGACGCTAAAGAAGCATTGATTAATTCAGAAGCAATAAGTGATTATAGGATGATTTTTATTTATGTCATAGCTCGATGCTGTAACATCCTTGTCCATTTCATGCTGAATATCTTTATCGTGAAAATAATCATTCTATAGGTAAGTGTTCTTATGTTTGTATTATTGATTGATATGACTATGGTAATAGAATGTCTTCGATTTCTTTCAATTTTTTAAAAATTCTGCTATTGTTCATATAGTCGGCTGCCATGAAAAGATTCGAAATGAAATCAATGACATTCGTATAGATAAAGCACAAAAATCTCAACTATGTTAGAAGGACACACAATAGTAATTGGTTTTTTTTCGACAGTACAAAGACAACACAAACAGTCAGCATGTAACAAGTTCGATTACAAGTGTCGATTGAATTCGTTACATGTTCGTATAAGTTAGATAAGAACAAATAAAGTATTGATGTGAATGTGGCTTTTTTGTGCATCTTCTATCTACTTATAATGAATGATCACTTCTATTTCAGATTATTATACATGATTCGATTTTTATCTAATATTATTCTCTATTTCACCTTGCTGAATAACTATATCGGTTTGTTAAACATTTTAGTTGTATTTTTGAAAATTAGTTCGTTTATTTAGACTTAATATTCGCTTTATCAGAATCCAAAACAAATACGAATGACTCACTGCTCATGGAAGCACATCATATGCAAACAGAATTGGCTACAATACGACAAGATATTCATGCTCATCCAGAGATGGCCATGGTAGAAAATCGAACATCAGCTCTGGTCGCTGCTAAACTTAAAGAATGGGGTCTAACAGTTACTGAAGGTGTTGGTGAATTGGGGGTTGTTGGAACATTAACGAGTTTCAAGCCAAGTAATTGTTCTATTGGTCTTCGTGCTGACATGGATGCTTTACAACTTGTCGAAAAAAACAATGTATCATATATTTCGACAAAACCTGGTACAATGCAGGCCTGTGGCCATGATGGACACACGGCAATGTTGCTAGGTGCCGCAAAATATTTGTCTCAGCATCGTGATTCATTCTGTGGAACTGTTGAATTTATCTTTCAACCAGCTGAAGAAAGACTCAAAGGTGCTCTAGCCATGATTAATGACAGTCTCTTTGAACGATTTCCTGTCGATGCTATCTATGGATTACACAATGCTCCAGAACAGTTGGGAACATTTTCTATCCGATCGGGTCCTCTGATGGCAGCATCCGATCGTTGGCTTGTAACATTTCGAGGTACAGGTGGTCATGGTGGAGCAGGTGCTCATCTTGCTACTGATGTTACAGTATTACAAGCACAATTCATCATGGCATTACAAACTATTATTAGTCGTAATATTAATGCAGCAGATCCAGCAGTAATCAGTGTTGGTGCCATTCAAGCTGGTTCTTTCGAATCAAGTAATGTTATGCCATCGGAAATACGTATTGGAGGTACTGCACGTACTTTGACTACATCAGCTCGTGATATTATCGAACGACGAATGAATGAATTAGCAAATAACCTAGCTGCTGCTTTTGGTTGTACGGCTCATGTTGAATATTTTCGACGAGGAATTCCGCTTGTTAATCATGATGTACAAACAAAACGAGCGATTAAAGCTGCTGAAACTGTCGTTGGTTCAATGAATGTTAACAAGAATAGGGAACCTAGGATGGGTGCTGAAGACTTTGCTTTCATGCTTGTGAAACGACCTGGTGCTATTATTATCATGGGCACCAATAATGGAACAGCAGTTAATATGTTATATTCACCTGATTATGACTTTAATGATGATGCAATTCCATTTGGTGTCGCTTATTGGATAACTCTTGTTCAACAAGAACTTAACAATTGATGTTATTTTTCTTGTTCTCTTCATTAACTTATAAACGGAAAAATAAATAAATAAAGTTTTAGAAGTACGGTGGATTTCTATTAATTAGATCAGAACAATATGCATATCTTTCTAGTTTTGATTCTATTTCATCATTATTCATCAGTCTCTATCCAAGATCATTTCAACAACGATACCCTATATCCAACTTGCTATAATAAAATCGGCATTTGAATTCTTTATGTTTTTTTTCGTTCGTGCTGTGCGAGTATCGGTGCACATGAGTATAGGAGAAATGATAAGGAGAAGGAAATGTTGCATTCATTGACTCTAGAATACAATACAATGTAAAAATGTAAGAGATGAAATAAATTTTTTTCAACGATGGCCAGTATGAATAAATTGATAAATAATTAAAATTTTCATGTAAAGTTTCCAAAAGAAATAATTCAAAAAGATAATTCATCATCAAACGTACCACAATGGCATACAACTGGGTAAACCTGTTGACATAGTATAGAATATTATTCTATGGATCGCATGTAGATCTAGGGTAGAATTATAATAAGTATGAATCGATAATTAAGAAAATTGCTAAAACAAAACTATTAAAAGACTACTGAATAAATCGAATGCTTGTGTTTCCTGAAAAATATACATAATCATTGAGGTTAGTTGCGATAGAAAATAAAACCCAATGAAACAAAACATTTTTGATAACAAAAGAATAGAGTAGATGTCAAAAAACTAATGCACCCCAACTTCATGATTAAGATGCCGGCTGTTCTTTACTAATACTTCCTGAAAGTCTAAGAACTTTGCAAGTTCTTAGTCTTGAATGACTATGTTTGAAACAGATAGATATTTGAATGGCAAAGTACTAAAAAGAACATCTGACTAACTATTGTATATTATTCTTCACTACATATCAAAAAAGATAATTTTTCTGATAGACATTCCGATGCATTATATTTAGTAATATATGGGACGTATTACTAAACACTAGCATATATCAGTAAACTGTATATACAGGTAGTCCAAAAAGTATTCGGACACCCATATATACCCTTGTATTTTATTATTTGTCTCGTAGAAGCCCGAGATTTTTTTACCACAGGTAGCCCACAAATTATAGTATATGCCATATAAAAATCAGCAAATATGACCAATGTTTTGAATCAGAACGACGTTTCGCACGAAAACATAGGACTTTTCCAAGTTCCAACCATAATGTGAATAAGAGAGAATAATATTTTTTTTTCCAAATTA